GCCTCTTCTCTATGCATACATCGGCGACTATCCAGAAACCTATAGGGTGTCCTGCACGTTGTCGCTGAAGTCATCAAAACCATGCTCTCTGTGCTACATTCCAAGGAAGTGGCTACGACAGATGGATACGAGAGGCGTCCACCTTAGGACCGTTCCCGGGCAGTCTAAACTTTTGTCTGACGAGGCTGAAGCCAAGCGATACTCAACCATCACTGTTCCGGTGAGCTAAAATGATGATACGGTAGACTAAACCGCAGTACGGGTGGTGTGGCGTTGCCAACACTCCTTCTCTATTCCCTTTATTGCTGTGTGTGCACCTGTCGCTCTTTCCTACATCCATACAGTTGAGTTTGCCTTGAATCCACAGTGAAAGTTTGAACACTGGATTGCATCCCGCCCCCTTTGCCCTTTCCCCTTTTTGCTGGTGTTCTCCCCCCTAACCCCCCACCCTCCCCCCCTTTCTCTCCCCTCCCCCCCCCCCCCCAAACAGATTGGTTTCGATGGCTGCCTTACCTTCCACAGATTCATGCATCCTAATCCTATTGCCCCATCCATTTTGTGACAGTCTGCCCTTTGGGGTTTCAAGTTTTCAGAGCAGCCGTGGGGAAACACTTATCTATCTATGATGCCAGACATACTGCATGTTTTCTACATTGGGGTATGGAAGCACTTGGTGACCGTCCTGATTGCGGATAAGGACCTTGCCAAGATTTATGAAGAGTAAGTGAACCCATGCAATAACATAAACTTGTAGCCTCGGGTACCTAGTGAAGTGGAATGGGCTTGCATTAACTCTCGTGACCTACTCCCTCCACTCCCCACCCCGTATGTGGCCTGCAGAAGGTATATTATAATATATCCCGATGCTCGCCTGGCGGGGCTTCCTGCTCCAAATCCTGGCAAATACTTTATCTCAGGCGCCAGCTACACTGGCGCAGAACATTCTGGCATGATGTCGGTAAGCCCTCGTTCTGTTGGACCCATAAAACATGCCCTGGCGCCCAATCACATCCCAACCTCCCCCCTCCCCTTCATTTTCCCAACAGGTTATCACTTTCATTGTCGAGGGCAAGCTTGCTCCAACTAGACACAAGGCGCTTAACTATCTCCTTGGGTGGCATCAGACCTACATACAAGCTACTCGCCACGATGATGCCAGCCTCGCCCAAATGCGAGAGGACACTCAAGAGGACGTGCCCTACCCATTCTTCGGCTGGCTTTGCCCCCGCCCCATGCCAATGGCCCAACCTGTGCCTTGGACCCATTTCAGCCATTTCCCTGTTTCCTCTCATTGTCCCTACCCCATGCTAATGGCCCAACCTGTGCCTTGGACCCATTTCAACCATTTCTCTGTTTCCTCTCATTGTCCCTTCCCCATGCCAATGGCCCAACCTATGCCCTGGACCCATTTCAGCCATTTCCCTGTTTCCTCTCATTGTCCCTACCCCATGCCAATGCCCCAGCCTGTGCCTTGGACCCATTGCAGCCATTTCCCTGTTTCCTCTCATTGTCTCTCAACCCTACCCGATGCCATGGCTCCAGCCTTTGTGTATCACTCCTTTCAGCCATTTTCCTGGTTCAACTCATTATCCTCACCCCATGCCATGCCAATGGCCCAACCCTTGGACCCATTTTTTCCGTTATCCAGAGTGTTCGCATCAGCTGGATCCCATGCCAGGGCACATACCACCGGCTCGCGACTTATATCTTCCATATGTCTGGCTCCGCTCACCAACCCATGCCATAGCGCCAACCAATCCATACTACCCATTTCAACCTTTATCCTGTGATTCACACATCTGCCCCACCACATGCTATGGCACCACCCACCCCCTTCTGGCCACATCAACAAGTCTACTGGTTTCTCATGGACGCCCCACCCCACGCCAAGGCTCGAGCTTGTGCCTTCGTTTCAATTCCTCCACGTTACTGGTTCCTCTCATCCACGCCACCCCATGCCACTGCCCGTAATCCCTCTCCTGTGTCGGCCGTTTTCTTGGTTCCTCTCTCACACCACACCCTCGTGCGATGGCCCCAGCCTTTGCTTTCTACCCGCCAGGTCCTTTTTTTGTTTTCTGGTTCCTCTCAGCTAATCACCATCATGACATGGCCGCTGTCTTTGCCGTTCCGCTCGGGATGTAGAAGCCAGACGTCATTCCCACGCCAGGGCATCAGTTCAATCCTTGAATCAATATGTGACCCTACGTTCGGCCCATCTATCTATCTCCCCACATACGCCATAGCTCAAACCCCCAACGCCAATAAGTTGTCCAATCCCAGGATTGTCGTATTCCTTCCAAAAACAATCACTGGACATCTCGTTAAGCCTTGCTCAAACCCTTTATTCACTCTTTGTTTCTTTTTCCCTCGCCTCGGCCCCACAGGATGATACGCCTCCTAGAGATGGCGTTCCCACGGTCTGGCCATGGATGGAATCTCATCAAAGTACATCGGCTCACTCATCTCCCTGGCTCGATTCGTCGAGGCGGCTTGCCACGGGAGTTTGCTGCTGCTGTTTTTGAAAATGCCCACTCACGCCTTTGCAAGCAGCCATATCGGACATCGAACCATCGCCAGTATGAGGACACCATCCTGAAGCACAATGTAACTCAAGAGTTGCTGCACCGTGTCAAGAGCTCGCTCCCGCCGCCACGCAAGTACAACACTGCAGGTGCACGGGTAAGAAAACCTCTGTTACCTTGTGCTTCTGATCGGTTGCAATAATATTGCCGCCCATCATGTATGATCAGTGAGCTGGCCTTATCGTCCAGCCAACCCCTAGCCATTCCCTACAACCATCGTTTCCCTCTTCAAAGCTTGTCGAGCACCCAATGCCATTCTTGAATGTGGGCTGTGGCGGAACGTCATTGTGGGGCGTATAATTCCTATTCCTTCTGCAGGCCATGCAGACAGGCGTGCCCAAGCTCACCGAGGATTCGGAGGTAATGACGTATGGATTTGCTAACCCCGGATCCTGCACCGACCTCTACACCAGCTACGTGGAAGCAAATGGTGGAAACATGGGACCATACGGTGAGAAAATGAGGCGCGCTGGCTACCAAAGCTTTCCGGCAGAGGTATGTATGTGCGAAGGTAGTTGAGTCCCTGCCATCCAGTTCTTCCTTCCCTTAGCATCAACATGATGAATGCAATGTTCTGTCATTGGTCACGGACCACTGAGTTATTCGTACAGGTTCATAGGGCTGTAGCAATTCCGGCCCGTGACGTCGATGGCCAGCCTGGCTGCTGGTATGCACGGGCAGCTATTAAGAACCAAGGGAGGCCGACCTTTTCATGCGTGAGCTTTTTGAATAGCAGAGGACGGCCTATGTACGGTCAGCTCTTGCTGCTACTGCGAGCAGAAAGGCTAGTGGGGCCGCAGGCAGGTATGAAACGCGCAGTCGCATATGTGCGCGCGTGGACCACCGGTGAAGTGGATGACATCACCGGCTGCACTATCCTGCACCGAGGTGTGGCTGGTGATGAGTATTTGGTCCTGCCCATCGAACGTCTCACCGGCGTTGTGCACATTGTGAAGTCATTTGAGCGGAAAGGAGTATGGCTACTTAATCGATGGGCTCATCTGCGAAGACCCATCTCAGGTAATCTTGCTGGTAATCTGCCATAGCCTTAAACCCCCCTGTCCGCATTCTGGAACTCTCATCAAGGCCTACGCACCTAGCATGTATTTGATCCTTGCTAGGGCGGTTCCTTAATTCACAAGTGTTTCACGAAAGTTTCAGGTGATACGTACGCCGAATGACAAACGGAGGGCAGCTTCTGAGGGACGTGCCTCTAGGAGTGGTTCTGCCCATGCAGGCCTTGCCTAGACGTTTTGGTGCGGAATCCATGATGCTCTCGGGATTGTAAGTGGTCATTCCCCTACGATTGGTAACCTCTGAATTGTCCTGCCTCCCGCAATCTCCGCTGCCCCTTTCTCTCTCTCCCATGGCCGACCTTCGTCGGTGGGTCGCGCATTCATAGGCACCATGGCACAACCAGTGACACGTACCATATCTAGCAACCCGATTTGAGAGCCTGTTTCTGCCCTGGCCCCTTTTTGTTCGCCACTCATGTGTTTTCCCCCTACCCTAGACAAGTGCCTCCACTCTGGCCAGCATGGATATGTCTTAAACACACTATGCGTAGTCACCTCAGATGCACCATCCACACAGCGACACATGCCTTTCAGCTGCAAACGATTCCAAAGTCACCGGGTCCCCCCCCCCCCCCCCTCCCCCCCTCCTCCCTATGCACCTCTCTCACTTTGTCTCTTCTCTTCCATGGGATCCGTGCATTCTACACTCTCTTTTCTCCCCCCATGTCTGAGTGGTTTCCCATTTGCCCATCCCCTTCCCCGTGTCCACTATTGCCTTCTTAGAAAGTCAAGCCATCGCAATTTATTCTCAGCACCAGACAGCTGAAAGGATGCAAATGCTGGCTAGGCGCGCATTGGCCTCAACCTGCTAGACGCTGCAGGTTGTGCAGCGGCAAGCATATCCTTAGTGTGCCGTGGAAGTGGCTGGTATTGATGAAGCCCTGGACATGACATCCCATTTCTGTTGTGCTCTTCTTCCATTTCCCCTCTCCTTCTATCCCCCCCCTTCCCCCGTCCCCCCCCTTCCCCCCAATGGTGGCTTTCCCAGGCTGGTCCCTTGCCGAGCTGCCTGGTCTTAACTACTCCACTACGCCATGCTGGGAGGATACCCCACCTCAGAGCTTTAGTCCCGCATGGCCATGGTCGAGCTGTTTCATTTGGCTCCTGGCCTCTCTCCAACTCCCATACTCCGCTGCATACCGCCCCATCCTCAATTACACATGTAGTCTGTCTCACAAACGGTCCATGTTCCATGATCCTCTACCTTGAGTTTTGAATCTCATCACTGTTCCGTTGTGGTGCCCTAAACATGTGTATCTTCCGATCTCTTTAATTCTGGAATGTACGCCACAATATAACTTCCACTCTCTTGAGTTCTACTCTTCACACTGAATGTAACTTAGCTTCAAATGTTACATAGAAACATAATGAATTCGTTTTACCTCAACCATATAGCTCTACCCTAAATCATGTAACATATCACTCTAAAAGCCCACCCCGCCTCTACGCTGTTACGACACTGCTGTGCGCTTTCGTGGAACTCTGGACAAAGTCGGTCCCCAGATCCCCGCCCTGGTAACATAGCTCGCTGCATGTTGCGGAACACTTCGCACAGTGCACCCATGGCATTCCACAAAGTATCCTACGTTGGGGGGCATGATTCTGGGGCCAAAAATTTTGTGACGATGGCGTTCAACTCCCACCACGGTTCCAACGAGGGAACCCCTCCTGACGACTTTCCTACCCATGCACTTGGCCCCGACCGCTAGGCCTCGACCAGCTGAACCGCCCATCCGACGCCCGCAACAGCCGCGATCCCAACGCCGCCGTCTCCCGCTGCCCTGCCAACGGGACCTCCTGTCGCGCCACGTCGTCAGCATGGCCCCGCTCCTCAGGAGGCCTGTGCACGACCGTCGAGGCAGCGTTTCTCTGTCGATGACATCGACGCGTTCATCGCCAAACGAGGACTTTGGAGAGCTGGACGACGGCCCTTCGGGGGCGGAGGTGATGCCACCTGCACCCACCGATGAGCCGCCAATGGCAATAGCCACCATCCGCACCGCCGCAGACCACCACCCCCTCTACCACTCGACGAACGGCCACGCCATCCAGCTGCGCCAGGCCGACCGCGTCGGCAACGACCCAGTGGCAGGACGACGAGGAGATGCTACATGCGGAAGTGCGTCACGATCTTGACGTCCTCATCCGCAGTATGCGAGGCATTCAGGGCCAAAACTACAACGTTGTCATCCTCCAGGAGCTCATTCGCCACTCCCCCAACTTCCGCCACAGGCTCACCACGGTCAAAAGCAAGCTGCAGGAAATGGTTGATCGGTACCGCCAGATTCGCGACCGAGGTCGCCCGTCCGGCTCTGAGCGCCGGGATGCGCCAGCAACCAAGAAGCGTAGAGATTGTTCGTCAGGCTCTCGCGACAACGAATGGGAGAGAACCTCTGACTCGTTGAACTGAAATGGCCAGCGGTGGCAGCCGGTCCCCGCAACCACCACCTGTCTCGAGGGCGCGGTGGGCCAAGGCGCGGACGCTGGCCGAGAGCCAGCTCGATGTTATGAAGGATCACGCTGCCGCCACCGCTTCGACCACACTTGGAAGATGGCACTCCATCCACTCGTCAAGAAGTCTCCACTTCCCTTTGATCCTTCCATTCACCTGTTCCACGATCATCCATGCCCTTTACTGTTGCTTGTTCCAAGTAGCTGCCCATCCGTCTAGGTTGCCATTAGGAGGTGCCCGAAATGGTGTGAACGTGTAGGTTTTCAGTCCGTAGGCCACGTCCCCTACAATAACCCTGTCATATAACTGGCCAGCTTTGATTCAGCGACGGGCGGGGGAATTTCATCCCAAAAATGAAGGGCCAAAAAGCAACCTCCAACCAACCCCGAGGAGCCCTCGAGGTTACCCCGAGGAGCCCTCGAGGTTACCCTGAGGAGGTAACTCTGAATGCGCATTGTAAGGAATTTCCATTCCTTACTGAGTCGGCCGCTACCGCGTACACCCGAACACTTCGACTCGTCACGTTCGGTCTACATTTTCGGCCCAAACCTTTCTCGAGTCGCGCCCGACAGCGTCGCCACATTGCCGAACCTAACCACGTCCCGAGGTTATCGCCCTATTACGTCCACTCCTATATAACCTCGTGCTTTCATGGCAATAGTGACATTGTATTCTCACGTTCTAGTACATTGACATTTTCTAAATCATAACAGCTGGTATCAGAGCCCGACCTTTCTCGGACCCTTCCGTTCTCCCAGTTAGTTAGTTAAGGGTGGTCAGAGGGGATTAACACGGCTGCACAGCAGTTGCCTTTGATCGTAAATATTTTTACGTCAACAACTACAGCGTGTGCGCTAGTTTCTGCCCCGTCCTGACCGCCATGGCCCCAGTAGACTCCACGGTTGAGGAACAGACAACCTCGACTGCTGCGAAATCTGCCCGGGAAACAGTAGACCTGCAAGCATTAATGGAGCAGTTGAATAATTTGACAAGCGTAGTCAACAACCTCCGTGACGAAAACCAACGACTTCGCCAGGCGCAGGAAAGGCGTTCAGAGGAGCCGGGCGACGATGCACGAAGCGAGGCGGGTGAGCAGCAACCGACACCAGTGGAGCTGGCACGGCTAGCGGCGACAGCCCCGCGCTCGACAAGTGGCGGCGTGAGATATCAGCAGCCCGCTCCTTTCGACCCAGCTAATAAAGGTGTGACGGTGCGGCAGTGGATATTCGCCATGAATATCTACTTTAACGCGGCGGGCATCCGAGACGACCAGAAGCGGATCAGCCACGCGTTGACACTGCTGCAAGGGGCCGCTCTACAGTGGTGGAAGGTCATCGTCGACTCAGCGGCAACTCGCACAGAAGGACAGCATGAGTGGTCCGAAGAATTCGGCGACGAAGACGAGACAGATTTGCTGTTTGGTGCAACTCACATTCGCACGTGGGCAACGTGGTGCGCAGAGCTTCGCAAGCGGTTTGAGCATGCTCCTGACTCAGACAAAGCGCGCGAAACTTTACGCATGTGGAAGCAGCTGGGATCTGTGTCCGACTACACCGCGTCATTCTTGACGTTGGTGGATCGATGTGGCTACATGCACGAGTTGGAGAAGGTCGACAGGTACATGGGTGGGCTAAAGCCTGAAATACAGTACCAGATAAAATTACAACGACCTGCGAAACGGTTACAAGACTTCATCCAACTCGCCGAAGCCGCTGATTCGCTCACGAAGCCGAGGACGAACTTCTACGACGGAGGTCGCCCTCGAGAACAGTACCAGCGCACTACGATAAAAGGGATGGACGCAGTGGACATTTACGCAGTTGCTCCGCGAAATACGGGGCTATGCTACCACTGTGGCCGACCGGGTCACATCAAACGCAACTGCCAAGAGTTCATAGCCATCCAGAATTCTATGGGGAAGAAGCCGGAGGAGCGACCGGGAAATGGGTCGCGTCAGTAAGTACCGGGCCCCTTACTGACGGGCAGGCTTCCTCGCCCGAACCACATAGTCCCCACCGGGTCGTGATCCCGATTGCTGCAATCGACCGGACCCGGACGAATAAGGGGGACGAAACTGCTGACCACCCTGTGTTGGTGGAGGGTAAAGTCAACGGGGCGTTGCTGAAAATATTCGTGGATGGAGGCGCGAGTCACAGTCTCATACAGCTCGACAGGGCTAAGAAAATGGGTATCCCTTTATTAAAGTGTCTACCCGAAATCGACGCAAGATTGGTGGACGGTACACCGTTGGCTATACGGGAGCGGGTGGAGCACGTCAGTTTCCACTGCGGCGAGCACGTAACATTTCGGATGGGGCTGCTGGCGACTACACTCGACGGATGCGACGTGCTGCTGGGACGGGACTGGCTGCCACAGTACAACCCGAGAATCGACTGGACGACGGGCAGCTGCAGCATCAAGATCGATGGGCACTATTACGAATTACCGAAATGGATGGGACCTCGCATGCGAAGCACCCAAGTCCACGCGATCACCTTCAAGCGCGCGATAAAAGCGGGAGCAGCAGCATACGCCCTCGATCTTCGCGAAGTGACGTCGCCGATAACAGCGGAAGATATCACGAAGCTATGTGAAGCCGTCCCTCCGGATTTAGCGGAACTCATTCGAAGATACCCCGAGATTTTCCCGGACGACCTACCCGCCGGACTTCCCCCAAGCCGACCCGAAGACCACCGCATCGAACTAGAACCAGGTGCACAACCGACAGTACAGCGACAATTTTGGCTCAGCCAACCGGAACTCGAGGAATTACAGCAGCAGTTGGATTACCTCCTGACGAAAGGTTTTATCCGACCAAGCACATCCCCATACGCCGCCCCCATACTGTTCACACCGAATAAAGATAGCGGATTCCGTATGTGCATCGACTACCGCGCACTGAACCGCATCACCATCAAGTCCCGTTACCCGATCCCGCGAGCCGACGACCTACTCGACCAACTTCGTGGAGCCAAATTCTTCTCGAAAATCGATCTGCGCGGAGGTTACCACCAGATTCGCGTCGCCACCGAGGATTGCCACAAGACCGCCTTCCGAACCCGCTACGGTAGTTACGAATACTTGGTGATGCCTTTTGGGCTCACGAACGCGCCCTCGACTTTTCAGATGACCATGAACGGTGTTTTCCGCGAACTCCTGGATAAATGCGTAATTATCTACCTCGACGACATCCTAATCTACAGCCGCAGCAGGGAGCAGCACTTAAAGGATCTTGATGCGGTCTTCACGCTGCTGCACAAGAATCGGCTCATCACGAAAGGGTCTAAGTGCGATATCCTTAAGCAAGAGTTGGAGTTTTTGGGGCACGTCGTCTCCACCGAAGGCGTGAAAATCGACCCCAGGAAAATCAAGACCATACAGGAATGGAAGCCGCCGACCAACCTCAAGGAACTCCAAAGTTTTCTGGGTTTTGTCAACTACGTCCGCCGCTTTATCCCTAATATGGCAGGGTTATCTGCACCACTAACGGACCGATTGAAGGATCGCGATTGTTTTTGGTGGGGTGAGAAGCAGCAAGCTGCATTCGACCAACTCAAAATCGCCCTCACGTCCTCGCCCGTACTTCGCATCTCCGATCCCAACCGTCCATACGAAGTCGTCACCGACGCCAGCGACATCGCCATCGGTGCAGTTCTACTACAAGATTTCGGCGACGGGTTACAACCGGTCGCCTACGAATCACGGAAGCTGCAAGGCGCGGAGAAAAACTATACAGTGCACGACAAGGAGATGCTGGCGATCGTCCACGCGTTTAAGACTTGGCGGTGCTACCTGACCGGAGCTGACGTCACGGTGCGGACGGACCACAAATCCTTACAGTACCTGCGCGCCCAACCGAATCTCAACCCACGACAGATTCGATGGCTCGATTTCCTCGAGTCCAACTTCCACTACACCATCACCTACAAACGAGGTGCCAATAATATCGCCGATGCCTTGACCCGCCCTACAGTCCATACCGCCGCGATACTAATCGCCCAGACCAACCCATTACTTACGGGACTATTCACCCACGGCTACAAGATTGATCCCTTTTTCCGCTCAGCCATCCATCAACAGCATACCACAGCCACCGGGCCATATTTTTATAAGCATGGCACTTCTCGCATTTGGGTACCCGGCTACGATTTACTTCGTACCCTCCTAATCCAGGAATCCCACGACAACCCTACCTCAGGACATTTCGGCGTCGATAAAACCACGAAGATGTTGCAGCGGAATTATTACTGGCCGAACATGGCCGATGACGTGCGCAAGTACGTGTCCTCCTGCACTGCCTGCCAGATCATGAAATCGTCGCACCAGCGAGCAGCCGGACTACTACAGCCGTTGGATCCACCCGAGCGACCCTGGCAACACGTCACGATGGACTACGTGACAGGACTGCCGGCCGGCCCCAGCGGAAACGACGCCATCCTCGTGGTCGTTGACCGACTCACAAAAATGGCGAACTTCATCGACTGCCAACGGACAATCACTACCGAACAAACTGCGCAACTGTTCATCGCGAACGTCATCCGACTGCACGGACTGCCCTCCGCCATCATTTCGGACCGCGACCCAAAATCCACATCGAATTTCTGGCGCCACCTGTGGGACCAGTTCGGCACCAAACTCCAATTTTCATCCGCCTACCACCCACAAACCGACGGGCAGACCAAACGCGTTAACCAAACCATGGAGCAGCTCATTCGCACTACCTGTACTGACCCCTCGACATGGGAGAAATCTCTACCGCTACTCGAATTCGCGTATAATAACGCGACCTCAGCTACGACCAATCACTCCCCATTTTTCCTCAACTACGGACAAGGCCCGGTAGTACCCTCTACACCGAACATCGAGTCACCAGTGCCCCGGTCCCAGAACTTTGCTGAAGACATTCTCGCCACTCGCGAAAAAGCAGCTGAGGCCATTCGGAAAGCTAACCTAGTTGCAAGCCGACAAGCCGATCGACATCGACGCGACGTCATTTACAAAGTGGGCGATCTGGTCCTCCTCGACACCCGCAATTTGCGGCTGCCGATCCCGAGCAAACTCCGACCAAGATTCTGCGGACCTTTTCAAGGGACCAACCTCGTGACACCTGTCACTGTACACCTTCGGCTACCGGCTGCTTGGCGCCATCACCCGGCTTT